GACGTCTAAACAAGCAATTCGCGAGCTACCTAGGTCGGCTATCTACATCTACCATGAGGCTGCCCTTTGCCGTGGCTGCAGGCGAATATGTAATTTATAGCGAATAAGAACTAGGCTATAGAGTCACTCTCGCAGAATCATTCAATCGATACGAATGATATGCAAAGTGTCAATGGTGCAGATGCTACTTCACACATATTATCAGTCCTGACGGTGGAGTTAGACGATGAGTTGTCTGAAGAGCGTAGGCCATGATCGAGCCAGTCAAGTGTAACTTTAGCGTGTGATATGCTTCCCGAACTGCGGAGTAAGCTAACGAATGAGTTGAGACCGATAGATCCATAAAAATAATTTGTAGCCAGGGGGTTTCCAACTCCCAGCTCCCATCCTGATGCACTTACAGAGCCTGTTATGTAACCCATATTCTGCACATAATATAGCCCTAACTATTGAAGTACCCCATGCTCCGTCTCGTCTGTGATCCTCCATGTATTCTGTACGCACGAGAAACGTCTGCCCACCGTATATCACCGCCTCTTCAAATCCCTCTTCACAAAAAAATGCTCCCCAACATACCATCAAAGCACGTGCGCGCCCGGACCCGCCACCACTAGCCCAACCTCTACAAAGCTCAGCACAACCATCGCACACACACTCGGGTCTATTGCAGCTGATATATTACCTACAAGACACAAAAAATCTTCCGACAGATACCATTACACTGCAACGGATCAAATTTACCGGCCTCCCCCGCCCGCTGGATGGGCTACAAATTTTTATTCGTCCCCATGCAATCCGGATGATAATGACTTAAATGTGGGAACATACCAGTGTACGCCAGCAGGGTATGGCTACACTGCGGATGGGGGGTATGGCTACAGTGGGGATGCGGAGTATTCGCCCGAGTCTCTGTCGGGCCATGGAGCGACGAATCATTCGGACTCGCGGGCGTGTTATTGTGGAGATAATTACTATTGTCCACATAAGCGCCCATAAAATTGGGCATATAGCTAGAGATATCGGAAAATAATATGCAGGGCATTTGTTAAACTGCGTTGCAAGGCTATTACGAATCTTGAGCACTACAGATGTAAGACTGAAGACGGTTAATTGAGCATGCATTCATTTTCAACTATTAGTGTGGAATCAGTGACGATGATTGTTAGATATTCACACAAGTATTTGCCAAGAGAAATCCACGCACGATATATGATTTATAGGCATGTTTAGTACTCAGGAGAAGATGCAGACTGCCTCAGAATGTACTGTACAGCAAGTATCTGCCTATCATAAAGCACTTTAAGCCATTGATGACAGAACACTAGATTCAGTAGTGTAGGGGTATCATGGGCGCTTGCCATTCAGCTACCAGACTGACCGCATTCTGCGCCCGACCCGGGTTCAAATCCCGGCTGAATCAGTTATCTTTTGCCTCCTGGCATATGTTCTTTTGCTTCCATATAGTCTGTGAAAATAGACTGATGCACCTACAATACGTGGATACCTTTTAGAAGCAATTACCATTCTTGGGCCGGTAACCAAACAGGCAATTGGTTCTGCTAGAAACCATCCTCGACACCTAGTCCACCAAAAGGGTGTGTTGTGGCTACTGCCCAGTGACTACCCAGCCGAGTGACTTGATATGACTAGTCTGCCACCAGTGGGAAAGCTGTACACGGAGTAGAGTAGATAGGTTAAGTAAAGGTGTTAACTAGCAGCCACCCGAGACCACTTTGCTTAACCTGACGTTCCAGCTTAAGCGCATAAAAAAACTTGGCTGCAGCACGTTTGGCCATATCGTGCCGGTACCTCGCAGCGCCGTACTCTTTGCTTAGTCGCGTGCATCACACTTGCGGACATACCGTGAATGCCTATAAAATTGTGGCCACACATGGCGCCACAAAATCATCAGAAGGCATTGTGGCTGAGTGGTTAAAGCGTAGCACTCGAAATGCTATGGGTTCGCCCGCGCAAGTTCGAATCTTGTCAATGTCGGTTCCTTTTTGTTTTTCTCCCTTTAGATTGAGTGGGAAATGAGCCTCTTTTGAATGAAGACTGATTGAGGCACCATTCAGAATGATGGGTTGCGTGGGATCAATTATTGAATAACGTAAAGAATAGAAGGATTCAGCTGTGGTGGATCGATACAGGAGTATCCTATCGACTGCTAATTGGGTCAAAATTCCTGCAGACTAGATATGGTTATTATGAGGACTCTTTTAACACACACTAGTTATCCTCTTTCTGTGAAACGTTTCGGCGATGTGTACCCTTGGGCCTTTGCCGACTCTCCGCGATGAGTATCGACCAACGCAAACGGCCAAAGCGTGGACCGAGCTTCTGCTTTTTATTACCACATGCAGCAGGAGACAATTCTAATCCAGAAATCAGTAGATTGTATACACCATACTATGCAATGAGGCTGTTTGATCACGTAAAGCGAGTATGGAAACAACTTGTGTAGTATAGTAAAAATATTAATCTGTTTACGCCCCAATTCTAAATCTAAAACAAATAAACAATTATACAAAATCTAATGCTCAACATCAACTCTCAACTCAACCCCTTAAAAAGCCTGGTCCTTCTTGGAAACCTTCTTCTTTCCTCCACCACGGCCTCCAAAGCCCCACTCAATCTGGTTGGCGACCTTGATTTCAACGTTCAGGTCCTCAGCCCAAGTCCAGACAAGTCCGGGGTTCTTCTGGAACATGCGGCCAACCATGATGACATCGGCATACTCTCCATCAAGGAGCTCCTGGGCCTGGGTACCAGTGGTGATGCTACCGACAGCAGAGACAAGGCACTTGCCCTTAACGGCCTCGCGGACCTGCTTGGCGAATGGTGCCTGGTAACCTGGGCCACCCTTGATCTTCTGCGAAGGGTGGAGACCACCAGATGAGACATCGATCAAGTCAACACCGTGCTCGGCCAGGATGGGGGCAAGGCGAGCGGACTGCTCAACAGTCCAGCCCTCAATGCCGGACTCCTCAAGCCAGTCGTCGGCAGAGATTCTCAGGAACAGGGGCATGTCCTTGGGGATGACGGCGCGCACAGCGTCGACAATCTCGATGGTCAGACGGGTGCGGTTCTCGAAGCTACCACCGTACTGGTCGGTACGCTTGTTGGAGGCAGGCGAGACGAAAGAGTGCAGCAGGTAACCGTGGGCATTGTGGATCTCGACAACGTCGAAACCGACGGCGACAGCGCGCTTGGCGGCGGCAACCCACGCGGCCTTGAGGTCCTCGATGTCTTGAAGAGTCATGGCGTGGGGCTGAGCGTGAGAATCGTTGTAGGCGACGGCAGAAGGTGCCTTGACATTGTTGGGCCATCCACCCTGGGCCTCAGTAGCGACGTCGCCCAATGACAACCACGGGGCAACGCAAGAAGCCTTGCGTCCGGCGTGTGCCAACTGGATGGCAATCTTCTGTCCCTGGGAGTGTGCGAACTCAACGACCTTCGACATGTACTCCTTCTGGGAGTCTTTCCAGAGACCGACATCTGAGGGGGTGATACGGCCCTCAGGGACGACGGCGGTGGCCTCAATGATGGTCAGACCGGGGCCGCGAGTGAAGATACCACCAAGGTGGGCCATGTGCCACGGTGTCATGTGGCCGTCTTCGGCGGAGTATTGGCACAAAGGAGAGAGCATGATGCGGTTGGGGAACTCGACTCCCCGAATGCGGAGAGGCTTGAAAAGTGCGGGTGGGTGAGTGCCATCTGGCTGGGGGTCGTAGGCGGTGCCGGAAGGAGGCTGCTGAGCAGGAGTGAAGTAGGAGATCTACGAAGAGCGTGTTAGCAATTGATGGTATAGAGGGCCTCAAAGAGTTTGAATATAACTTACGTCGGGAGCTGGCACGTTGACCAAAGACTTAGGAGCGGTGTTTGCGTCGTGAGAAGTCATTTTGAAGTGTGAGGTGATATGGGTGTTGGGATTTGATGGGTTGGTTTGGATGGTGAACAAATATTTTTTGCAAGGCCGCGGGTGTTGTTTATATATCTTCAGGACCCTTTGCCTCCAACCCTGCCCCGCAGCAATTCAATTCTTTCTCCACGCAGCGCGGGAAGAAAAATTAATTATTAACGGCATCTCACGTCACAATCTTAACGGCCGCTACGTCACTAGCGCGGCTGCAGCTGTCTCTAGATTTCGATGTTTAACGGTTATCGATACCAGAAAAGACAATTCAGGTTCGATTCTTCGATTTTTTCGGGCTAGAGGAGTAAATTCTGTGGCTCGTTACGGGTTAGATTGCTGAATAATAGGCATTCCTCTGCCCTTCGTCCGCATTCCATGCGCCTAGGAACACTCAGTGGGGCGACCTCACCCCTTGCACCTTGGTGGGAGGCAGAAAAAAATTAGTGCTCCCGAGGCTGCATGCAGCTATCTAGGGGGCTTTGTAATCAAATTGATTACAAATGAATCGGATGGCTGTGCGAAATTTCGGGGAAACACCGGTTAGCTGTTCGGAGGTTGATTTTTTTTTACGCTTTTCTTTAAGGTCGGTTAATTAGAGTGTGGCGTGCGCCTTTTAGGGCTTTTGGTTGGCCCAGACACGGATGTGGCGTGTTCTGCAGTTGATTATTAATGTTAGCGGCCATGCAAAGGGAGCACTACCGGGTAAGGGTTAGCAAAGGTGTCGCCGTCTATGCATCGTGCAAAGTGAATTCGAGGGACGACCTTGTAGCAGGCAGTACGTGTACGTGGTGTTTCAAATCCTAAGTACGATTTGTACAACAAATCATCTCGGGATTCGGCATGAAGGTCGTGCATACATTGAGGTCAAAATTGCTGGCTCAGATCTGATCTTCCCGTACAATGTGCAAAGCTGACGCGACGTCATGCAGTTAAAGTGCTGATTTGTGATCATTTTCACGATAAGGCCCTGGTTTCCTGGTGGTGATACATGGGAGCCTGAATATGATCATATTTATCCGGCCGGCAATACTCTAATATCGCCAAACATCTCTAATCCCACCAGGTCAGGGACAAAAAGATAACTCGACATTGACAAGATTCGAACTTGCGCGGGCGAACCCATAGCATTTCGAGTGCTACGCTTTAACCACTCAGCCACAATGCCTTGGTGTTGAGTTTGGCCACGAAGTCTCACTGCGTTTTTCTCGAATTCTGCAAGGTAAAGCTAGCGGTGGTGAGTGAACACTAGACTAGTACGGAGTAGACCCGTAGACTAGCGGTGGTGGGGCCATGGAGGACGGCAGGGTGGATACCACACCACCACCCGTGGACGTGTTCTGATAACTCGAAGCTTCGCTCATATTCCAAATGATTCTTTGTCGTTCAGAACTCTCGATTATAATGGTCAGATGTATGCTGTTGTGTGTTTACTGAAGACAATCAAAGTTTTGGTATCAGGGGCCGCCAGGTCGTCAATCCGGTTGCCCCAATGTGCAAGGTAGGTCTTCAAACTCCATTTCTTTCAGCATATGATTAACAGCTCCAATAGCTAGTTGTTCTCACTCGGTAATAACCTAAGTTCAAGGTGGATGCAGTAACCATAAACTATTCATCCATCGTTTCTTGATCGTCTATCCTCGATATTGCGGAGATTCAATTCCTTTGGAGCCGGAGGTCAACTGAATGCCTTCCAATAATAACGTCGAGCTTCGTGGGATTTGGCTCAGGTGTGACGAGCAAACTTTTGGCTTTGATGCAAACAGCCACTGCAGGAGTGAAAGGCAAAGCCTATTCGTACTCCGTTACCCGAAGGTTCTTTAAGCTTGCTTTGGTGTCAAACATAGGTCATGAAGAAAGATAGAAGCAGTAACTTGAAGTTGATGTAGTTGGCTTAAGGAAATTAGCGATGATGAAAAGTGGGGTAGCAACCAATGGTTGTTGAGAGTGAAGTTTGCACAGACTGTCACTCGGTTTAGCACTATGGTAGAAGTGGAGGTAAATGCAACGACAAGCTAATTTTTCGATACTTGTAACATTCATATTGACAGTTTTGTTCTCTTTATCACCAGCTACTACCCGTCGCGTTGAGGCCTGCTGGATACCGCCGAGGCCCTGCAAATTTCTGGCTCTTCGACCATTCCGCTCCGCAGAAACGGTTGACACGAAAGCTCGATGGATCTGTCGACCGTCATCTCGATGCGCTTTGAGAAGCATGTGAATGACACCAACTATTAAGAATTCCATTCTATTTTAGAGACAACTATGCCCACCGAACGGGGACGGAAGTGGTCCGAAGTCCCCCCTACCTGGAGTTTCCAGCTTTGAGTCCATCACAATAATCCTTGTTCCTTTTTGATCTGATCGATGGGATACTTCAAACCAGTCGCTACCAAGGATTTTGATGAGGGTGTGAATTGAACAAATGTGCCTGGCCCCTTTTCCGATGTTTCCACGAAGGTCATTCCACATCACGAGGATAATAGTTTGAACCTCGGGACGAGATGTTGGTGTTTATTGCTTGTCATGCAGAGTCAAAATTTTATAGGATATTACACGGCAGTATCTAAAGATATCTGTGTAGCCGTGGGGGTTGCTGCGCGGGATGATCTAGAAACAATAGTCTTAACAACCACATACAAAAACTCACAATCACATGATTGGCCGCTCCGGCGGTTGCCCCGATATATCACATCCCCAGGCACGTCTCCCTCCCACCCGACGGTGCGCGCACCATCCATGACTCGGTTGCCGTTCCGGCCGCGGCCGGAGGACATCGGACGACGGGCCGGCCGACGATCAGGCTCACAATTTACTAGCCGCAGAAACTGGCCTGAGGGTGAGTATCACAGGCGCTGGTGCGGGCGCGACGATAGTTGCGAGTGCTAGCCTATCTAGAGCTCTGGGACGGGCGAACAGAGCCAGAGCCAGCGAGATATATATCCCGTCGTGGGCGTCGGGACGTCTTGCCGGGCACTGTGCCGTCTGGGGGCCCGACGCGCTCTCAATAGACCGAGGCGGCGTCGGACCGACGGAGGCGACGTGTATTCGTAACCCTAACGGTACGTCGGGGGTTGAGGGTGTACGTGTTCGCCCGTTTCGGAGGATTTAGGGATAGATTAAAACAAAAGGCAAAATGTGATGTGATGAGTTTATAGTATATTGAAAAGTATTTACATGAAGTCACCAGTCCCCCGGGACCTAGTAAATTGTGATATAGCTCTGTCGTATTATAAGTTTCCCTGTTATAGGAAACAGCTTCTCCTCCCAGCTTCTCAATCCCAAGCGGTACCGATTAAACCCATTTAAACGCGACAAAACGGGAAAGATGTACCGCCAGATCTCTTTAATGGGCCATATATCCATGAGTCGATCCTTCCGCCCGTCCATCGGCGCCACCGCAAACTCGAATCATTCCTTGCATATAGCAACAGTAAAGTATGAAAGAAGAACAAACACAAGAAGGAATGCCAGTCCCAATCAATATGCAAAAAAAAGGAAAACAAAAGAGAAATGATAATAATAGAAAAACACCCCTTTTTATATACAATGCAAATAAGAAAAAAGATTTTCGGAGGAACCGTCGGCCCGCCGCCACACTCAAAGTACTAGATTTTTCCTTTTCGGGCCGCCGGGGAGTGCTGACTTCGCAACCCATACTGACTAGCCTTGCTGCTGACTTAAAAGCACTAGGCCAGGGCACGGGGTCTAAGCGGCCACCCGCGGCTTCAGATGATACACGACAGGTCCTATCGACGAAGCACCCCCCGGGCGTGGAGTTCGTTTTGTGTGGCTGTCCGCGTGTACACCACGTATGCGTCTTGTTGAGGGTCTAGTTTGAGATATCTTTCGAGTGGGTTTGCAGTGGGCTCTACTGGCGTACTATTCGACTGCACAAAGGCGGCTTCATTGATGATTGAAGCGTCGATAGGAGGAACCACACTTCCTGAGCGAGCAGCAGCGAGTTGGATATTGAGTTGGCGCGAGCCTTCCATGCGGCGCTCTGTGTGGTGAGGATCGTAGGACATTTTTGAAGATTGGAGTAGTTGGATAAATTTCTTGAAGATTTGTGCTTGAGGATAGTTTAGAAAAGTATTTTTTGACTTGAGGCAATATTGTGGAGAGTGGACCAGAAATAGTTGTTTGTTAGATTTTAGAGGAAGGAAATCTGTTTCGATTTATACCTTGAGCCGTAGCACCCAGCTATCGTCGGTCAGCTTTGCACAGGCTCCGAAGCTTTGATAGTGACGATGCTAGCTGTTGATCCGCACAGACCTCGCAAAATCATTTGCAGGCATTTGATTCCATGGTACATATTGTGTGCTATTCTAGTTCGATCAATTGCGTCTCAGTTCATAAAAAAATGTATTCAAGCTTCCGTAAGAGTTTCAAGACACATATCTACACGTCTTTGGTACCTTGACGGAGTTGACGGGCCGCACTCCGCTACACCAAAATCGCCCCATCTTTAGTTTCCAGGGACACTATCCTTGCCATACCAAGCTTGCATAGAAATCCCATCCAGACTGATGAGAGGTGGGGGGTGCGGTGCTAGGTGCGTGTTCGATTGAACGGTTTCCCGCACCACCGTTCCCTAAGTTTCGGGACTCGGATTATTCCTTTTTTACTTATGTGTTGTGACAATATAGGCGCCAGCAGCAGATTTCTAGATGAGCCGCAGATTTTTAATATATCCACTCGAAATTGACGGGGATTGTAAGTTTTCTTTTCCTTTTTTGTGTTCTGGCCCAATCTGTACCTGCATTAGCCTCTCCATATTCAGCGATCTGCCTAACTCCAGCTGCTTGCTTCCCGTCAACGTTTTGAGCGTTGGCCGGTCCGGAAAAACTATTCAATAGATTGTTCGCCCACCACGATCAAACCATTCATCCCACGGGTCTGGTGTTTCCTTATCGTATTGCTACTGAACTAAGGTACGCAGTCGGCACGGACACCACCACTTTGCGGCCGTATTTCCATGGGGTTGCAATCCGAGCGAGAGTTCTGCATGTCTAACACGAGATTATCTTTGACCCCCACGAACCAAATCGACAGTTATCAGGCGTCCCATGAACTACTACATCATCCATCGAAGCTGGTATATTAAACTTTCGTATACATTTTGTCCGGTGCGATAGCAGCCTGTCCTCTGCGTTATATGCCGGAGATAGTAGAACTTTCCATATCAGAAAGAAGCTCGTGAACCAATATATCACATAGTAGGAGGCAAACATCCCACTATTCTATCATAATCGACCTTTAGCACGTAAAACATTGCGTAACTTCAATGTTTTTCTGAAGAAAACAATATCGAGAAAAATTTCTGTGCCCTGCCGATTTTGGAATTGCTGAGCGTGTCTGTGCCTTCCATGGCGGCCGTATTCAGGGATAAATGACAGACCTCTACCGGGTACGTGAATGGGTAGTATAGGCTTAATTCAATCCTCCCGAAACATACGCTGGCAATTTTCTAAACTTCTTCGTGTATTCGGGGGTTTCAGCTGGAACCCTGGACCGACTGCGTCGCAGTAACTATTTCCGAGTAATCGTCTATGTAACCCTATCCCGAATCATACCTGGGTTGATGATCTCTGTTTGAATAGATTTCTTTATTTGTGTAAGCGAAGTCTGGAAAAAGCGTCGTATTTAGCCAGTGAGGCCGGCACTCTGGTCCGGACGGCGCCGGGCCGTTTGCGGTTCCATAGGGATGGCCATCTAGGTAGCCCATCGTTATTACGACGTGAAACTTCATATTATAAGATCTAGAGTTTGTGTGTGCTCATGTACCGTATTATATCCGGATCGAATTGTAGCTATGCATACCCGCATACTTGACGTCGTTATAAATTATATAGAAGCATGTGAAACTTAGTACTCCTACTAACACCAAGCTAGTTAGCCAAGCACAAATCTAGGGATCGTACCACGGTTTAATACTTTGTTTCCATCCTTCAACCATTCCTTTTGTTTTCCTTTATTCATGTAATTGCACTTTGAGGTTACACCCGGGCCGTTTTATGTATGCACTTTACGTCTCCCGCAGAAGGCCGGTCTTGACGGATATGCAGTGCTACATCGGTTGGTAGATCATGATCAGCCAACTTGCCACAGCCGAACACCCATTACATACCTTTCGCTCTGGGCAAAGATGGGTCTAAAATCAAAGTC